GTTTAACACACGGTGGGTTGAACACACGGTGGGTTTAACACACGGTGGGTTGAACACACGGTCGGTTGAACACACGGTGGGTTTAACACACGGTGGGTTGAACACACAGTGGGTTTAACACACGGTGGGTTGAACACACGGTGGGTTGAACACACGGTGGGTTGAACACACGGTAGGTTGAACACACGGTAGGTTTAACACACGGTGGGTTGAACACATGGTCGGTTTAACACACGGTGGGTTGAACACACGGTGGGTTGAACACACGGTGGGTTGAACACACGGTGGGTTTAACACACGGTGGGTTTAACACATGGTGGGTTGAACACACGGTAGGTTTAACACACGGTGGGTTGAACACACGGTGGGTTGAACACACGGTAGGTTTAACACACGGTGGGTTGAACACACGGTGGGTTGAACACACACTAGGTTTAACACACGGTGGGTTGAACACACGGTGGGTTGAACACACGGTGGGTTGAACAGATGGTGGGTTTAACACACGGTGGGTTTAACACACGGTGGGTTTAACACTTGCGGGTTGAACACATGGTGGGTTGAACACACGGTAGGTTTAACACACGGTAGGTTTAACACACGGTGGGTTTAACACACGGTGGGTTTAACACACGGTGGGTTGAACACACGGTGGGTTTAACACACGGTGGGTTGAACACACGGTGGGTTGAACACACGGTAGGTTGAACACACGGTGGGTTGAACACACGGTGGGTTGAACACACGGTGGGTTGAACAAACGGTGGGTTGAACACACGGTGGGTTGAACACACGGCGGGTTGAACACACGGTGGGTTAAAAACGGTGGGTTGAACACACGGTGGGTTGAACACACGGTGGGTTTAACACTTGCGGGTTGAACACATGGTGGGTTGAACACACGGTAGGTTTAACACACGGTAGGTTTAACACACGGTGGGTTTAACACACGGTGGGTTTAACACACGGTGGGTTGAACACACGGTGGGTTTAACACACGGTGGGTTGAACACACGGTAGGTTGAACACACGGTAGGTTGAACACACGGTGGGTTGAACACACGGTGGGTTGAACACACGGTGGGTTGAACAAACGGTGGGTTGAACACACGGTGGGTTGAACACACGGCAGGTTGAACACACGGTGGGTTAAAAACGGTGGGTTGAACACACGGTGGGTTGAACACACGGTGGGTTTAACACACGGTGGGTTTAACACACGTTGGGTTTAACAAACGGTGGGTTTAACACACGGTGGGTTTAACACACGGTGGGTTTAACACACGGTGGGTTGAACACACGGTGGGTTGAACACACGGTGGGTTGAACACACGGTGGGTTGAACACACGGCAGGTTGAACACACGGTGGGTTGAACACACGATCGGTTGAACACACGATGGGTTTAACACACGGTGGGTTTAACACACGTTGGGTTTAACACACGGTGGGTTTAACACACGGTGGGTTGAACACACGTTGCGTTTAACACACAATGGGTTGAACACACGGTGGGTTGAACACACGGTGGGTTGAACACACGGTGGGTTGAACACACGGTGGGTTGAACACACGGTGGGTTGAACACACGGTGGGTTGAACACACGGTGGGTTGAACACACGGTAGGCTGAACACACGGTATGTTTAACACACGGTGGGTTGAACACACGCTAGGTTTAACACACGGTGGGTTGAACACACGGTGGGTTGAACACACGGTGGGTTGAACACACGGTGGGTTTAACACACGGTGGGTTTAACACACGGTGGGTTTAACACTTGTGGGTTGAACACATGGTGGGTTGAACACACGGTAGGTTTAACACACGGTAGGTTTAACACACGGTGGGTTTAACACACGGTGGGTTTAACACACGGTGGGTTTAACACACGGTGGGTTTAACACACGGTGGGTTTAACACACGTTGGGTTTAACACACGGTGGGTTTAACACACGGTGGGTTTAACACACGGTGGGTTTAACACACGGTGGGTTGAACACACGGTGGGTTTAACACAGGGTGGGTTGAACACACGGTGGGTTGAACACACGGTGGGTTGAACACACGGTAGGTTGAACACACGGTAGGTTTAACACACAGTGGGTTGAACACAAGGTAGGTTTAACACACGGTGGGTTGAACATACGGTGGGTTGAACACACGGTAGGTTTAACACACGGTGGGTTGAACACACGGTGGGTTGAACACACGGTAGGTTGAACACACGGTGGGTTTAACACACGGTGGGTTTAACACACGGTGGGTTTAACACTTCTGGGTTGAACACATGGTGGGTTGAACACGTGGTAGGTTTAACACACGGTAGGTTTAACACACGGTGGGTTTAACACACGGTGGGTTTAACACACGGTGGGTTGAACACACGGTGGGTTTAACACACGGTGGGTTCAACACACGGTGGGTTTAACACACGGTGGGTTTAACACACGGTGGGTTTAACACACGTTGGGTTTAACACACGGTGGGTTTAACACACGGTGGGTTGAACACACGGTGGGTTGAACACACGGTGGGTTGAACACACGGTGGGTTTAACACACGGTGGGTTGAACACACGGCAGGTTGAACACACGGTGGGTTGAACACACGATGGGTTGAACACACGATGGGTTTAACACACGGTGGGTTTAACACACGTTGGGTTTAACACACGGTGGGTTTAACACACGGTGGGTTGAACACACGGTGGGTTTAACACACGGTGGGTTGAACACACGGTGGGTTGAACACACGGTGGGTTGAACACACGGTGGGTTGAACACACAGTGGGTTGAACACACGGTGGGTTGAACACACGGTGGGTTGAACACACGGTAGGCTGAACACACGGTAGGTTTAACACACGGTGGGTTGAACACACGGTAGGTTTAACATATGGTGGGTTGAACACACGGTGGGTTGAACACACGGTGGGTTGAACACACGGTGGGTTTAACACACGGTGGGTTTAACACACGGTGGGTTGAACACACGGTAGGTTGAACACACGGTGGGTTGAACACACGGTAGGTTGAACACACGGTGGGTTGAACACACGGTGGGTTGAACACACGGTGGGTTGAACACACGGTAGGTTTAACACAAGGTGGGTTGAACACACGGTGGGTTGAACACACGGTGGGTTGAACACACGGTGGGTTGAACACACGGTGGGTTGAACACACGGTGGGTTTAACACACGGTGGGTTTAACACACGGTGGGATTAACACACGGTGGGTTTAACACACGTTGGGTTTAACACACGGTGGGTTTAACACACGGTGGGTTTAACACACGGTGGGTTTAATACACGGTGGGTTGAACACACGGTGGGTTGAACACACAGTGGGTTGAACACACGGTGGGTATAACACACGGTGGGCTGAACACACGGTGGGTTTAACACACGGTGGGTTGAACACACGGTGGGTTGAACACACGGTGGGTTGAACACACGGTGGGTTGAACACACGGTGTGTTTACCACACGGTGGGTTGAACACACGGTGGGTTGAACACACGGTGGGTTGAACACACGGTAGGTTGAACGCACGGTAGGTTTAACACACGGTGGGTTGAACACACGGTAGGTTTAACACACGGTGGGTTGAACACACGGTGGGTTGAACACACGGTGGGTTGAACACACGGTAGGTTTAACACACGGTGGGTTGAACACACGGTGGGTTGAACACACGGTAGGTTTAATACACGGTGGGTTGAACACACGGTGGGTTGAACACACGGTAGGTTTAACACACGGTGGGTTGAACACACGGTGGGTTGAACACACGGTGGGTTGAACACACGGTGGGTTTAACACACGGTGGGTTTAACACACGGTGGGTTTAACACTTGTGGGTTGAACACATGGTGGGTTGAACACACGGTAGGTTTAACACACGGTAGGTTTAACACACGGTGGGTTTAACACACGGTGGGTTTAACACACGGTGGGTTTAACACACGGTGGGTTTAACACACGGTGGGTTTAACACACGTTGCGTTTAACACACGGTGGGTTTAACACACGGTGGGTTTAACACACGGTGGGTTTAACACACGGTGGGTTGAACACACGGTGGGTTTAACACAGGGTGGGTTGAACACACGGTGGGTTGAACACACGGTGGGTTGAACACACGGTAGGTTGAACACACGGTAGGTTTAACACACAGTGGGTTGAACACACGGTAGGTTTAACACACGGTGGGTTGAACATACGGTGGGTTGAACACACGGTAGGTTTAACACACGGTGGGTTGAACACACGGTGGGTTGAACACACGGTGGGTTGAACACACGGTGGGTTTAACACACAGTGGGTTTAACACACGGTGGGTTTAACACTTGTGGGTTGAACACATGGTGGGTTGAACACGCGGTAGGTTTAACACACGGTAGGTTTAACACACGGTGGGTTTAACACACGGTGGGTTTAACACACGGTGGGTTGAACACACGGTGGGTTTAACACACGGTGGGTTCAACATTCGGTGGGTTTAACACACGGTGGGTTTAACACACGGTGGGTTTAACACACGTTGGGTTTAACACACCGTGGGTTTAACACACGGTGGGTTGAACACACGGTGGGTTGAACACACGGTGGGTTTAACACACGGTGGGTTTAACACGCAGTGGGTTTAACACACGTTGGGTTAAACACACGGTGGGTTTAACACACGGTGGGTTTAACACACGGTGGGTTGAACACACGGTGGGTTGAACACACGGTAGGTTTAACACACGGTGGGTTGAACACACGGTGGGTTGAACACCCGGTAGGTTTAACACATGGTGGGTTGAACACACGGTGGGTTGAACACACGATGGGTTGAACACACGGTGGGTTGAACACACGGTGGGTTGAACACACGGTGGGTTGAACACACGGTGGGTTTAACACACAGTGGGTTGAACACACGGTAAGTTGAACACACGGTGGGTTGAACACACGGTAGGTTTAACACACGGTGGGTTGAACACACGGTGGGTTTAACACACGGTGGGTTTAACACACGGTGGGTTCAACACACGGTGGGTTGAATGGAACGGGGTGATGGAAAGAGGGAGAATGGAGCGGGGTGATGTAAAGCGGGAGAATGGGGCGGGGTGATAGAAAGCGGGAGAATGGGGCGGGGTGATGGAAAGCAGGAGAATGGGGCGGGGTGATGGAAAGCGGGAGAATGGGGCGGGGTGATGGAAAGCGGGAGAATGGGGCGGGGTGATGGAAAGCGGGAGAATGGGGCGGGGTGATGGAAAGTGGGAGAATGGGGCAAGGTGATGGAAAGCTGGAGAATGGGGCGGGGTGATGGAAAGCGGGAGAATGGGGCGAGGTGATGGAAAGCGGGAGAATGGGACGAGGTGATGGAAAGCGGGAGAATAAGGCGGGGTGATGGAAAGCGGGAGAATGGGGCGGGGTGATGGAACGCGGGAGAATGGAACGCGGTGATGGAAAGTGGGAGAATGGGGCGAGGTGATGGAAAGCGGGAGAATAAGGCGGGGTGATGGAAAGCGGGAAATGGGGCGGGGTGATGGAAAGCGGGAGAATGGGGCGGGGTGTTGGAAAGCGGAGGAATGGGGCGGGGTGATGGAAAGAGGGAGAATGGGGCGGGGTGATGGAAAGCGGGAGAGTGTGGCGGGATGATGGAAAGCGGGAGAATGGGGCGGGGTGATGGAAAGTTGGAGAGTGGGGCGGGGTGATGGAATGCGGGAAAATGGGGCGTGGTGATGGAAAGCGGGAGAATGGGGCGGGGTGATGGAAAGCGGGAGAATGGGGCGGGGTGATGGAAAGCGGGAGAATGGGGCGGGGTGATGGAAATGGGAGAATGGGGCAGGGTGATGGAAAGCGGGAGAATGGGGCGGGGTGATGGAAAGCGGGAGAATGGGGCGGGGTGATGGAAAGTTGGAGAATGGGGCGGGGTGATGGAAAGCGGGAGAATGGGGTGGGGTGATGGAAAGCGGGAGAATGGGGCGGGGTGATGGAAAGCGGGAGAATGAGGCGGGGTGATCGAAAGAGGGGGAATGGGGCGGGGTGATGGAAAGCGGGAGAATAGGGCGGGGTGATGGAAAGCGGGAGAATGGGGCGGGGTGATGGAAAGCGGGAGAATGGGGCGGGGTGATCGAAAGAGGGAGAATGGAGCTGGGTGATGGAAAAAGGGAGAATGAGGTGGGGTGACAGAAAGAGGGAGAATGGAACGGGGTGATGGAAAGAGGTAAAATGGGGCGGGGTGATGGAAAGTAAGAGAATGGGGCGGGGTGATGGAAAGCGGGAGAATGGGGAGGGGTGATGGATAGTGGGAGAATGGGGCGGGGTGATCGAAAGAGGGAGAATGGGGCGGGGTGATGGAAAGCGGGAGAATGGGGCGGGTGATGGAAAGCGGGAGAATGGGGCGTGGTGATGGAAAGTTGGAGAGTGGGGCGGGGTGATGGAAAGCGGGAAAATGGGGCGTGGTGATGGAAAGCGGGAGAATGGGGCGGGGTGATGGAAAGCGGGAGAATGGGGCGGGGTGATGGAAAGCGGGAGAATGGGGCGGGGTGATGGAAAGCGGGAGATTGGGGTGGGGTGATGGAAAGAGGGAGAATGGGGCAGGGTGATGGAAAGCGGGAGAATGGGGCGGGGTGATGGAAAGCGGGAGAATGGAACGGGGTGAAGGAAAGCGGGAGAATGGGGCGGGGTGATGAAAAGCGGGAGAACGGGGCGGGGTGATGGAAAGCGGGAGAATGGGGCGGGGTGATGGAAAGCGGGAGACTGGGGTGGGGTGATGGAAAGCAGGAGAATGGGGCGGGGTGGTGGAAAGCGGGAGAATGGGGCGGGGTGATGGAAAGCGGGAGAATGGGGCGGGGTGATGGAAAGCGGGAGAATGGGGCGGGGTGATGGAAAGTGGGAGAATGGGGCAAGGTGATGGAAAGCTGGAGAATGGGGCGGGGTGATGGAAAGCGGGAGAATGGGGCGAGGTGATGGAAAGCGGGAGAATGGGACGAGGTGATGGAAAGCGGGAGAATAAGGCGGGGTGATGGAAAGCGGGAGAATGGGGCGGGGTGATGGAACGCGGGAGAATGGAACGCGGTGATGGAAAGTGGGAGAATGGGGCGAGGTGATGGAAAGCGGGAGAATAAGGCGGGGTGATGGAAAGCGGGAAATGGGGCGGGGTGATGGAAAGCGGGAGAATGGGGCGGGGTGTTGGAAAGCGGAGGAATGGGGCGGGGTGATGGAAAGAGGGAGAATGGGGCGGGGTGATGGAAAGCGGGAGAGTGTGGCGGGATGATGGAAAGCGGGAGAATGGGGCGGGGTGATGGAAAGTTGGAGAGTGGGGCGGGGTGATGGAATGCGGGAAAATGGGGCGTGGTGATGGAAAGCGGGAGAATGGGGCGGGGTGATGGAAAGCGGGAGAATGGGGCGGGGTGATGGAAAGCGGGAGAATGGGGCGGGGTGATGGAAATGGGAGAATGGGGCAGGGTGATGGAAAGCGGGAGAATGGGGCGGGGTGATGGAAAGCGGGAGAATGGGGCGGGGTGATGGAAAGTTGGAGAATGGGGCGGGGTGATGGAAAGCGGGAGAATGGGGTGGGGTGATGGAAAGCGGGAGAATGGGGCGGGGTGATGGAAAGCGGGAGAATGAGGCGGGGTGATCGAAAGAGGGGGAATGGGGCGGGGTGATGGAAAGCGGGAGAATAGGGCGGGGTGATGGAAAGCGGGAGAATGGGGCGGGGTGATGGAAAGCGGGAGAATGGGGCGGGGTGATCGAAAGAGGGAGAATGGAGCTGGGTGATGGAAAAAGGGAGAATGAGGTGGGGTGACAGAAAGAGGGAGAATGGAACGGGGTGATGGAAAGAGGTAAAATGGGGCGGGGTGATGGAAAGTAAGAGAATGGGGCGGGGTGATGGAAAGCGGGAGAATGGGGAGGGGTGATGGATAGTGGGAGAATGGGGCGGGGTGATCGAAAGAGGGAGAATGGGGCGGGGTGATGGAAAGCGGGAGAATGGGGCGGGTGATGGAAAGCGGGAGAATGGGGCGTGGTGATGGAAAGTTGGAGAGTGGGGCGGGGTGATGGAAAGCGGGAAAATGGGGCGTGGTGATGGAAAGCGGGAGAATGGGGCGGGGTGATGGAAAGCGGGAGAATGGGGCGGGGTGATGGAAAGCGGGAGAATGGGGCGGGGTGATGGAAAGCGGGAGATTGGGGTGGGGTGATGGAAAGAGGGAGAATGGGGCAGGGTGATGGAAAGCGGGAGAATGGGGCGGGGTGATGGAAAGCGGGAGAATGGAACGGGGTGAAGGAAAGCGGGAGAATGGGGCGGGGTGATGAAAAGCGGGAGAACGGGGCGGGGTGATGGAAAGCGGGAGAATGGGGCGGGGTGATGGAAAGCGGGAGACTGGGGTGGGGTGATGGAAAGCAGGAGAATGGGGCGGGGTGGTGGAAAGCGGGAGAATGGGGCGGGGTGATAGAAAGAGGGAGAATGGGGCGGGGTGATGGAAAGCGGGAGAATGGGGCGGGGTGATGGAAAGCGGGACAATGGAACGGGGTGAAGGAAAGCGGGAGAATGGGGCGGGGTGATGAAAAACGGGAGAATGGGGCGGGGTGATGGAAAGCGGGAGAATGGGGCGGGGTGATGGAAAGCGGGAGAATGAGGCGGGGTGATCGAAAGAGGGAGAATGGGGCGGGGTGATGGAAAGCGGGAGAATGGGGCGAGGTGATCGAAAGAGGGAGAATGGAGCGGGGTGATGGAAAGAGGAAGAATGTGGTGGGGTGACGGAAAGAGGGAGAATGGAACGGGGTGATGGAAAGAGGTAAAATGGGGCGGGGTGATGGAAAGCGAGAGAATGGGGCGGGGTGATGGACAGCGGGAGAATGGGGCGGGGTGATGGAAAGCGGGAGAATGGCACGGGGTGATGGAAAGCGGGAGAATGGGGCGGGGTGATGGAAACCGGGAGAATGGGGCGGGGTGATGGAAAGAGGGAGAATGGGGCGGGGTGATGGAAACCGGGAGAATGGGGCGGGGTGATGGACAGCGGGAGAATGGGGCGGGGTGATGGAAAGCGGGAGAATGGGGCGGGGTGATGGAAAGCGGGAGAATGGGGCGGGGTGATGGAAAGCGGGAGAATGGGGCGGGGTGATGGAAAGCGGGAGAATGGGGCGGGGTGATGGAAAGAGCGAGAATGGGGCGGGGTGATGGAAAGCGGAAGAATGGGGCGAGGTGATGGAAAGAGGGAGAATGGGGCGGGGTGATGTAATGAGGGAGAATAGGGGGGGATGATGAAAAGAGGTAGAATGGGGCAGGGTGATGGAAAGGAAGAGAATGGGGCGGGGTGATGGAAAGCGGGAGAATGGGGCAGGGCGATGGAAAGCGGGAGAATGGGGCGGGGTGATGGAAAGCGGGAGAATGGGGCGGGGTGATGAAAAGCGGGAGAATGAGGCGGGGTGATCGAAAGAGGGAGAATGGGGCGGGGTGATGGAAAGCGGGAGAATGGGGCAAGGTGATCGAAAGAGGGAGAATGGAGCGGGGTGATGGAAAGAGGAAGAATGTGGTGGGGTGACGGAAAGAGGGAGAATGGAACAGGGTGATGGAAAGAGGTAAAATGGGGCGGGGTGATGGAAAGCGAGAAAATGGGGCGGGGTGATGGACAGCGGGAGAATGGGGCGGGGTGATGGAAAGCGGGAGAATGGCACGGGGTGATGGAAAGCGGGAGAATGGGGCGGGGTGATGGAAACCGGGAGAATGGGGCGGGGTGATGGAAAGAGGGAGAATGGGGCGGGGGGATGGAAACCGGGAGAATGGGGCGGGGTGATGGAGAGCGGGAGAATGGGGCGGGGTGATGGAAAGCGGGAGAATGGGGCGGGGTGATGGAAAGCGGGAGAATGGGGCGGGGTGATGGAAAGCGGGAGAATGGGGCGGGGTGATGGAAAGAGCGAGAATGGGGCGGGGTGATGGAAAGCGGAAGAATGGGGCGGGATGATGGAAAGAGGGAGAATGGGGCGGGGTGATGTAATGAGGGAGAATAGGGCGGGATGATGAAAAGAGGTAGAATGGGGCAGGGTGATGGAAAGCAAGAGAATGGGGCGGGGTGATGGAAAGCGGGAGAATGGGGCAGGGTGATGGAAAGCGGGAGAATGGGGCGGGGTGATGGAAAGCGGGAGAATGGGGCGGGGTGATGGAAAGCGGGAGAATGGGGCGGGGTGATGGAAAGAGGGAGAATGGGGCGGGGTGATGGAAAGAGGGAGAATGGGGCGGGGTGATGGAAAGCTGGAGAATGGGGCGGGGTGATGGAAAGCAAGAGAATGGGGCGGGGTGATGGAAAGCGGGAGAATGGGGCAGGGCGATGGAAAGCGGGAGAATGGGGCGGGGTGATGGAAAGCGGGAGAATGGGGCGGGGTGATGGAAAGCGGGAGAATGGGGCGGGGTGATGGAAAGCGGGAGAATGGGGCGGGGTGATGGAAAGCGGAAGAATGGGGCAGGGTGATGGAAAGAGGGAGAACAGGGCGGGGTGATGGAAAGCGGGAGAATGGGGCGGGGTGATGTAAAGCGGGAGAATGGAACGGGGTGAAGGAAAGCGGGAGAATGGGGCGGGGTGATGAATAGCGGGAGAATGTTGCGGGGTGATGGAAAGCTTGAGAATGGGGCGGGGTGATGGAAAGCGGGAGAATGAGGCGGGGTGATCGAAAGAGGGGGAATGGGGCGGGGTGATGGAAAGCGGGAGAATAGGGCGGGGTGATGGAAAGCAGGAGAATGGGGTGGGGTGATGGAAAGCGGGAGAATGGGGCGGGGTGATCGAAAGAGGGAGAATGGAGCTGGGTGATGGAAAGAGGGAGAATGAGGTGGGGTGACAGAAAGAGGGAGAATGGAACGGGGTGATGGAAAGAGGTAAAATGGGGCGGGGTGATGGAAAGTGAGAGAATGGGGCGGGGTGATGGAAAGCGGGGGAATGGGGAGTGGTGATGGAAAGTGGGAGAATGGCGCGGGGTGATGGAAAGAGGCGGGAGAATGGGGCGGGGTGATGGAAAGCGGGAGAATGGGGCGGGGTGATGGAGAGTGGGAGAATGGGGCGGGGTGATCGAAAGAGGGAGAATGGGGCGGGGTGATGGAAAGCGGGAGAATGGGGCGGGGTGATGGAAAACGGGAGAATGGGGCGTGGTGATGGAAAGTTGGAGAGTGGGGCGGGGTGATGGAAAGCGGGAAAATGGGGCGTGGTGATGGAAAGCGGGAGAATGGGACGCGGTGATGGAAAGCGGGAGAATGGGGCGGGGTGATGGAAAGCGGGAGAATGGGGCGGGGTGATGGAAAGCTGGAGATTGGGGTGGGGTGATGGAAAGAGGGAGAATGGGGCAGGGTGATGGAAAGGGGGAGAATGGGGCGGGGTGATGGAAAGCGGGAGAATGGAACGGGGTGAAGGAAAGCGGGAGAATGGGGCGGGGTGATGAAAAGCGGGAGAACGGGGCGGGGTGATGGAAAGCGGGAGAATGGGGCGGGGAGATGGAAAGCGGGAGACTGGGGTGGGGTGATGGAAAGCAGTAGAATGGGGCGGGGTGATGGAAAGCGGGAGAATGGGGCGGGGTGATAGAAAGAGGGAGAATGGGGAGGGGTGATGGAAAGCGGGAGAATGGGGCGGGGTGATGGAAAGCATGAGAATGGAACGGGGTGAAGGAAAGCGGGAGAATGGGGCGGGGTGATGAAAAACGGGAGAATGGGGCGGGGTGATGGAAAGCGGGAGAATGGGGCGGGGTGATGGAAAGCGGGAGAATGAGGCGGGGTGATCGAAAGAAGGAGAATGGGGCGGGGTGATGAAAAGCGGGAGAATGGGGCGAGGTGATCGAAAGAGGGAGAATGGAGCGGGGTGATGGAAAGAGGGAGAATGTGTTGGGGTGACGGAAAGAGGGAGAATGGAACGGGGTGATGGAAAGAGGTAAAATGGGGCGGGGTGATGGAAAGCGAGAGAATGGGGCGGGGTGATGAACAGCGGGAGAATGGGGCGGGGTGATGGAAAGCGGGAGAATGGCATGGGGTGATGGAAAGCGGGAGAATGGGGCGGGGTGATGGAAACCGGGAGAATGGGGCGGGGTGATGGAAAGAGGGAGAATGGGGCGGGGTGATGGAAAGCGGAGAATGGGGCGGGGTGATGGACAGCGGGAGAATGGGGCGGGGTGATGGAAAGCGGGAGAATGGGGCGGGGTGATGGAAAGCGGGAGAATGGGGCGGGGTGATGGAAAGCTGGAGATTGGGGTGGGGTGATGGAAAGAGGGAGAATGGGGCAGGGTGATGGAAAGCGGGAGAATGGGGCGGGGTGATGGAAAGCGGGAGAATGGAACGGGGTGAAGGAAAGCGGGAGAATGGGGCGGGGTGATAAAAAGCGGGAGAACGGGGCGGGGTGATTGAAAGCGGGAGAATGGGGCGGGGTGATGGAAAGCGGGAGACTGGGGTGGGGTGATGGAAAGCAGGAGAATGGGGCGGGGTGATGGAAAGCGGGAGAATAGGGCAGGTGATAGAAAGAGGGAGAATGGGGCGGGGTGATGGAAAGCGGGAGAATGGGGCGGGGTGATGGAAAGCAGGAGAATGGGGCGGGGTGATGGAAAGCGGGAGAATGGGGCGGGGTGATGGAAAGCGGAAGAGTGGGGTGGGGTGATGGAATGTGGAGAATGGGCTGGGTGATGGAAAGCTGGAGAATGGGGCAGGGTGATGGAAAGCGGGAGAATGGGGCGGGGTGATGGAAAGCGGGAGAATGGGGCGGGGTGATGGAAAACTGGAGAATGGGGCGTGGTGATGGAAAGTTGGAGAGTGGGGCGGGGTGATGGAAAGCGGGAAAATGGGGCGTGGTGATGGAAAGCGGGAGAATGGGACGCGGTGATGGAAAGCGGGAGAATGGGGCGGGGTGATGGAAAGCGGGAGAATGGGGCGGGGTGATGGAAAGCAGGAGATTGGGGTGGGGTGATGGAAAGAGGGAGAATGGGGCAGGGTGATGGAAAGGGGGAGAATGGGGCGGGGTAATGGAAAGCGGGAGAATGGAACGGGGTGAAGGAAAGCGGGAGAATGGGGCGGGGTGATGAAAAGCGGGAGAACGGGGCGGGGTGATGGAAAGCGGGAGAATGGGGCGGGGAGATGGAAAGCGGGAGACTGGGGTGGGGTGATGGAAAGCAGTAGAATGGGGCGGGGTGATGGAAAGCGGGAGAATGGGGCGGGGTGATAGAAAGAGGGAGAATGGGGAGGGGTGATGGAAAGCGGGAGAATGGGGCGGGGTGATGGAAAGCATGAGAATGGAACGGGGTGAAGGAAAGCGGGAGAATGGGGCGGGGTGATGAAAAACGGGAGAATGGGGCGGGGTGATGGAAAGCGGGAGAATGGGGCGGGGTGATGGAAAGCGGGAGAATGAGGCGGGGTGATCGAAAGAAGGAGAATGGGGCGGGGTGATGAAAAGCGGGAGAATGGGGCGAGGTGATCGAAAGAGGGAGAATGGAGCGGGGTGATGGAAAGAGGGAGAATGTGTTGGGGTGACGGAAAGAGGGAGAATGGAACGGGGTGATGGAAAGAGGTAAAATGGGGCGGGGTGATGGAAAGCGAGAGAATGGGGCGGGGTGATGAACAGCGGGAGAATGGGGCGGGGTGATGGAAAGCGGGAGAATGGCACGGGGTGATGGAAAGCGGGAGAATGGGGCGGGGTGATGGAAACCGGGAGAATGGGGCGGGGTGATGGAAAGAGGGAGAATGGGGCGGGGTGATGGAAAGCGGAGAATGGGGCGGGGTGATGGACAGCGGGAGAATGGGGCGGGGTGATGGAAAGCGGGAGAATGGGGCGGGGTGATGGAAAGCGGGAGAATGGGGCGGGGTGATGGAAAGCTGGAGATTGGGGTGGGGTGATGGAAAGAGGGAGAATGGGGCAGGGTGATGGAAAGCGGGAGAATGGGGCGGGGTGATGGAAAGCGGGAGAATGGAACGGGGTGAAGGAAAGCGGGAGAATGGGGCGGGGTGATAAAAAGCGGGAGAACGGGGCGGGGTGATGGAAAGCGGGAGAATGGGGCGGGGTGATGGAAAGCGGGAGACTGGGGTGGGGTGATGGAAAGCAGGAGAATGGGGCGGGGTGATGGAAAGCGGGAGAATAGGGCAGGTGATAGAAAGAGGGAGAATGGGGCGGGGTGATGGAAAGCGGGAGAATGGGGCGGGGTGATGGAAAGCGGGAGAATGGGGCGGGGTGATGGAAAGCAGGAGAATGGGGCGGGGTGATGGAAAGCGGGAGAATGGGGCGGGGTGATGGAAAGCGGAAGAGTGGGGTGGGGTGATGGAATGTGGAGAATGGGCTGGGTGATGGAAAGCTGGAGAATGGGGCAGGGTGATGGAAAGCGGGAGAATGGGGCGGGGTGATGGAAAGCGGGAGAATGGGGCGGGGTGATGGAAAGCGGGAGAATGGGGCGGGGTGATGGAAAGAGGCGGGAGAATGGGGCGAGGTGATGGAAAGAGGGACAATGGGGCGGGGTGATGGAAAGAGGGAGAATGGGGCGGGGTGATGGAAAGCTGGAGAATGGGGCGGGGTGATGGAAAGCGGGAGAATGGGGCGGGGTGATGGAAAGAGGCAGGAGAATGGGGCGGGGTGATGGAAAGAGGGACAATGGGGCGGGGTGATGGAAAGAGGGAGAATGGGGCGGGGTGATGGAAAGCTGGAGAATGGGGCGGGGTGATGGAAAGCAGGAGAATGGGCGGGTTGATAGAAAGCGGGAGAATGGGGGGGGGTAATGGAAAGCGGGAGAATGGGGCGGGGTGATGGAAAGCGGGAGAATGGGGCGGGGTGATGGAAAGAGGGACAATGGGGCGGGGTGATGGAAAGAGGGAGAATGGGGCGGGGTGATGGAAAGAGGGAGGATGGGGCGGGGTGATGGAAAGCTGGAGAATGGGGCGGGGTGATGGAAAGCACGAGAATGGGCGGGTTGATGGAAAGCGGGAGAATGGGGGGGGGGGTAATGGAAAGCGGGAGAATGGGGCGAGGTGATGGAAAGCGGGAGAATGGGGGCGGGGTGATGGAAAGAGGGAGAATGGGGCGGGGTGATGGAAAGAGGGAGAATGGGGCAGGGTGATGGAAAGCTGGAGAATGGGGCGGGGTGATGGAAAGCAGGAGAATGGGCGGGTTGATGGAAAGCGGGAGAATGGGGGGGGGTAATGGAAAGCGGGAGAATGGGGCGAGGTGATGGAAAGCGGGAGAATGGGGCGGGGTGATGGAAAGCAGGAGAATGGGGCGGGGTGATAGAAAGCGAGAGAATGGGGCAGGGTGATGGAAAACGGGAGAATGGGTCGGGGTGATGAAAAGCGGGAGAATGGGCGGGGTGATGGAAAGCGGGAGAATGTGGCGGGGTGATGGAAGGCGGGAGAATGGGGCGGGGTGATGGAAAGCGGGAGAATGGGGCGGGGTGATGGAAAGCGGGAGAATGGGGCGGGGTGATGGAAAGTTGGAGAATGGGGCGGGGTGATGGAAAGCGGGAGAATGGGGCAGGATGATGGAAAGTGGGAGAATGGGGCGGGGTGATGGAAAGCAGGAGAATGGGGCGGGGTGATGGAAAGCGGGAGAATGGGGCGGGGTGATGGAAAGAGGGAGAATGGGGCGGGGTGGTGGAAAGCGGGAGAATGGGGCGGGGTGATGGAAAGTTGGAGAATGGGGAGGGGTTATGGAAAGTGGGAGAATGGGGCGAGGTGATCGAAAGCGGGAGAATGGGGCGGGGTGATGGGAAGAGGGAGAATGGGGCTGGGTGATGGGAAGCGGGAGAATGGGGCAGGGTGAAGGAAAGAGGGAGAATGGGGCGGGGTGATAGAAAGCGGGAGAATGGGGCGGGGTGATGGAAAGCGGGAGAATGGAGCGGGGTGATGGAAAGTGGGAGAATGGGGTGGGGTGATGGAAAGCGGGAGAATGGGGCGGGGTGATGGAAAGCGGGAGAATGGGGCGGGGTGATGGAAAGCGGGAGAATGGGACGGGGTGATGTAAAGCGGGAGAATGGGGCGGGGTGATGGAAAGCGGGAGAATGGGGCGGGGTAATGGAAAGCGGGAGAATGGGGCGGGGTGATGGAAAGAGGGAGAATGGGGCGGGGTGATGGAATGCAGGAGAATGGGGTGGGGTGATGGAAAGAGGGAGAATGGGGCGGGGTGATGGAAAGCGGGAGAATGGGGCGGGGTGATGGAAAGCGGGAGAATGAGGCGGGGTGATGGGAAGAGGGCGAATGGGCCGGGGTGATGGGAAGCGGGGGAAAGGGGCGGGGTGAAGGAAAGCGGGAGAATAGGGCGGGGTGATGGAAAGCGGGAGAATTGGGCGGGGTGATCGAAAGCGGGAGAATGGGGCGGGGTGATGGGAAGAGGGAGAATGGGGCGGGGTGATGGGAAGCGGGAGAATGGGGCGGGGTGAAGGAAAGAGGGAGAATGGGGCGGGGTGATAGAAAGCGGGAGAATGGGGCGAGGTGATGGAAAGCGGAAGAATGGAGCCGGGTGATAGAAAGCGGGAGAATGGAGCGGGGTGATGGAAAGCGGGAGAATGGGGCGGGGTGATGGAAAGCGTGAGAATGGGGCGGGGTGATGGAAAGAGGGAGAATAAGGCGGGGTGATGGAAAGAGGGAGAATGGGGCGGGGTGATGGAAAGCGAGAGAATGGGCCGGGATGATGGAAAGAGGGAGAATGGGGCGGGGTGATGGAAAGCGGGAGAATGGGGCGGGGTGATGGAAAGCGGGAGAATGGGGCAGGGTGATGGAAAGAGGTAGAATGGGGCGGGGTGATGGAAAGCAGGAGAATGGGGTGGGGTGATGGGGGAGAATGGGGCGCGGTGATGGAAAGCGGGAGAATGGGGTGGGGTGATGGAAAGCGGGAGAATGGGGGCGGGGTGATGGGAAGAGGGAGAATGGGGCAGGGTGATGGGAAGCCGGGGAATGGGGCGGGGTGAAGGAAAGCGGGAGAATGGAGCGGGGTGATAAAATGCGGGAGAATGGGGTGGGGTGATCGAAAGCGGGAGAATGGGGCGAGGTGGTGGGAAGAGGGAGAATGTGGCGGGGTGATGGGAAGCGGGAGAATGGGGCGGGGTGAAGGAAAGAGGGAGAACGGGGCGGGGTGATAGAAAGCGGGAGAATGGGGCGGGTTGATGGAAAGCGGGAGAACAGAGCGGGGTGATAGAAAGCGGGAGAATGGGGCGGGGTGATGGAAAGCGGGAGAATGGGGCGGGGTGATGGAAAGCGGGAGAATGGGGCCTTGGGGGCTTGAAGGCTTGAAGGCTTGAGGGCTTGAAGGCTTGAGGGCTTGAGGGCTTGAGGGCTTGAGGGCTTGAGGGCTTGAAGGCTTGAAGGCTTGAAGGCTTGAAGGCTTGAGGGCTTGAGGGCTTGAGGGCTTGAAGGCTTGAGGGCTTTAGGGCCTGAAGGCTTGAAGGCTTGAAGGCTTGAAGGCTTGAAGGCTTGAGGGCTTGAGGGCTCGAAGGCTTGAGGGCTTGAGGGCTTGAGGGCTTGAGGGCTTGAAGGCTTGAAGGCTTGAAGGCTTGAAGGCTTGAGGGCTTGAGGGCTTGAGGACTTGAGGGCTTGAGGGCTTGAGGGCTTGAGGGCGTGAAGGCTTGAAGGCTTGAAGGCTTGAAGGCTTGAAGGCTTGAGGGCTTGAGGGCTTGAGGGCTTGAGGGCTTGAAGGCTTGAGGGCTTGAGGGCTTGAGGGCTTGAAGGCTTGAAGGCTTGAAGGCTTGAGGGCTTGAAGGCTTGAAGGCTTGAGGGCTTGAGGGCTTGAAGGCTTGAAGGCTTGAGGGCTTGAGGGCTTGAAGGCTTGAAGGCTTGAAGGCTTGAGGGCTTGAGGGCTTGAAGGCTTGAGTGCTTGATGGCTTGAAGGCTTGAGGGCTTGAAGGCTTGAGGGCTTCAGGGCGTGAGGGCTTGAGGGCTTGAGGGCGTGAGGGCTTGAGGGCTTGAGGGCTTGAGGGCTTGAGGGCTTGAAGGCTTGAGTTCTTGAAGGCTTGAGGGCTTGACGACACCAGGCCCACCAGGTCAAGGTCGAAAGCCTTGGCCCTGACCAGCAGAGGGAGGAGGGGGAAGGGGGGCAAGTACATGAGGAAAATGAGCCCGTGCCCCACACTGGCGATGACAGGGAAACTCACTACGGATCGGAGGACACCAGGCACGTGATGAGAGAGGTACTTTCATCTCACCATCTGATGACAGAGGTACTTTCATCTCACCATCTGATGAAAGAGGTACTTACATCTCACCATCTGATGAAAAAGTTACTTTCATCTCACCATCTGATGAAAGAGGTATTTCATCTCACCATCTGATGAATAATAACTTTCATCTCACCATCTGATGAAAGAGTTACTTTCATCTCACCATTTGATGAAAGAGTTACTTTCATCTCACCATCTGATAAAAGAGTTACTTTCATCTCACCATCTGATGAAAGAGGTACTTTCATCTCACTATCTGATGAAAGAATTACTTTCATTTCACCATCTGATGAAAGAGGTACTTTCATCTCACCATCTGATGAAAGAGTTACTTTCATCTCACCATCTGATGAAAGAGGTACTTTCATCTCACCATCTGATGAAAGAGTTACTTTCATCTCACCATCTGAAGAAAGAGTTGTTTTCATCTCACCATCTGATGAAAGAGTTACTTTCATCTCACCATCTGAAGAAAGAGTTGCTTTCATCTCACCATCTGATGAAAGAGTTGCTTTCATCTCACCATCTGATGAAAGAGGTACTTTCATCTCACCATCTGATGAAAGAATTACTTTCATCTCACCATCTGATGAAAGAGGTACTTTCATCTCACCATCTGTTGAAAGAGATGCTTTCATCTCACCATCTGATGGAAGAGTTACCTTGATCTCACCATCTGATGAAACAGGTACTTTCATCTCACCATCTGATGAAAGAGTTGCTTTCATCTCACCATCTGATGAAAGAGTTGCTTTCATCTCACCATCTGATGAAAGAGTTACATTCATCTCACCATCTGATGAAAGAGTTGCTTTCATCTCACCATCTGATGAAAGAGGTATTTTCTTCTCACCATCTGATGAAAGAGTTACTTTCATCTCACCATCTGATGAAAGAGGTACTTTCATCTCACCATTTGATGAAAGAGTTACTTTCATCTCAGCATCTGATGAAAGAGGTACTTTCATCTCAGCATCTGATGAAAGAGGTACTTTCATCTCACCATCTGATGAAAGAGTTACTTTCATCTCACCATCTGATTAAAAAGTTACTTTCATCTCACCATCTGATGAAAGAGTTACTTTCATCTCACCATCTGATGAATCATAACTTTCATCTCACCATCTGATGAAAGAGTTACTTTCATCTCACCATCTGATGAAAGAGTTACTTTCATCTCACCACCTGTTCAAAGAGTTACTTTCATCTCACCATTTGACGAAAAATAACTTTCATCTCACCATCTGATGAAAAATTTACTTTCATCTCACCAGCCACGTGATGAAAGAGTTACTTTGAGTCTGGAAATAACACGTGTACTACCAATCACCATATCTCAACCACCAGTCTCATCATCCCATCCCACAGTCGATGCAGTTGAGCAGAATCTCTCCCGCTTTCCATCACCCCGCCCCATTCCCCCGTTTTCCATCACCCCGCCCCATTCTCCCGCTTTCCATCACCCCGCCCTATTCTCCCGCTTTCCATCACCCGGCCCCATTCTCCCGCTTTCCATCACCCCATGCCATTCTCCCGCTTTCCATCACCCCGCCCCATTCTCTCGCTTTCCATCACCCCGCCCCATTCTCTCGCTTTCCATCACTCTGCCCCATTCTACCTCTTTCCATCACCCCGCCCCATTCTCCCTCTTTCCATCACCCCGCCTCATTCTCCCTCTTTCCATCACCCCGCCCCATTCTCCCTCTTTCCATCATCCCGCCCCATTCTCCCGCTTTCCATCACCGTGCCCCATTCTCCCGCTTTCCATCACCCCGCCCCATTCTCCCGCTTTCCATCACCCCGCCCCATTCTCCCGCTTTCCATCACCCTGCCCCATTCTCCCGGTTTCCATCACCCCGCCCCATTCTCCCGCATTCCATCACCCCGCCCCATTCTCCCTCTTTCCATCACCCCGCCCCATTCTCCCGCTTTCTATCACCCCGCCCCATTTTCCCGCTTTCCATCACCCCTTTCCATTCTCCCGCTTTCCATCACCCCGCCCCATTCTCCCGCTTTCCATCATCCCGCCCCATTCTCCCTCTTTCCATCACCCCGCCCCATTCTCCCGCTTTCCATCACCCTGCCCCATTCTTCCGCTTTCCATCATCCCACCCCATTCTCCCGCTTTCCATCACCCCGCTCCATTCTCCCGCTTTGCATCACCCCGCCCCATTCTCCCGCTTTCCATCACCCCGCCCCATTCTCCCGCTTTCCATCACCCCGCCCCATTCTCCCTCTTTCCATCACCCCGCCCCATTCTCCTGCTTTCCATCACCCCGCCCCATTCTCCCGCTTTCCATCACCCCGCCCCATTCTCCCTCTTTCCATCACCCCTCCCCATTCTCCCGCTTTCCATCTCACCACCCCATTCTCCTGCTTTCCATCACCCCGTCCCATTCTCCCGCCTCTTTCCATCACCCCGCCCCATTCTCCCGCTTTCCATCACTGCGCCCCATTCTCCCGCTTTCCATCACCCCGCCCCCATTCTCCCGCTTCCCATCACCCCGCCCTGTTCTCCCGCTTTCCATCACCCTGCCCCATTCTCCCGCTTTCTATCACCCCACCCCATTCTCCTGCTTTCCATCACCCCGCCTCATTCTCCCTCTTTCCATCACCCTGCCCCATTCTCCCTCTTTCCATCACCCTGCCCCATTCTCCCGCTTTCCATCACCCCGCCCCATTCTCCCGCTTTCCATCACCCCGCCCCATTCTCCCGCTTTCCATCACCCCGCCCCATTCTCCCGGTTTCCATCACCCCGCCCCATTCTCCCGGTTTCCATCACCCTGCCCCATTCTCTCGCTTTCCATCACTTTGCCCCATTCTACCTCTTTCTATCACCCCGCCCCATTCTCCCTCTTTCCATCACCCCGCCCCATTCTCCCGATTTCCATCACTCCGCCCCATTCTCCCGCTCTCCATCACTCCGCCCCATTCTCCCGCTTTCCATCACCCCACCCCATTCTCCTGCTTTCCATCACCCCGCCCCATACTTCAACTTTCCATCACCCCGCCTCATTCTCCCACTTTCCATCAACCCGCCCCATTCTCCCGCTTTCCATCACCCCGCCCCATTCTCCCTCTTTCGATCACCTAGCCCCATTCTCCCGCTTTCCTTCACCCTGCCCCATTCTCCCGCTTTCCATCACCCCGCCCCATTCTTCCGCTTTCCATCAACCCGCCCCATTCTTCCTCTTTCCATCACCCTGCCCCATTCTCCCGCTTTCCATCACCCCGCCCCATTCTCCCGCTTTCCATCACCCCGCCCCATTCTCCCTCTTTCCATCATCCCGGCCCATTCTCTCGCTTTCCATCACCCCGCCCCATTCTCCCTCTTTCCATCACCCCGCCCCATTCTCCCGCTTTCCATCACCCCGCCCCATTCTCCCGCTTTCCATCACCCCGCCCCATTCTCCCGGTTTCCATCACCCCGCCCCATTCTCCCGGTTTCCATCACCCTGCCCCATTCTCTCGCTTTCCATCACTCTGCCACATTCTACCTCTTTCTATCACCCCGCCCCATTCCCCCTCTTTCCATCACCCCGCCCCATTCTCCCGATTTCCATCACCCCGTCCCATTCTCTCGCCTCTTTCCATCACCCCGCCCCATTCTCCCGCTTTCCATCACTCCGCCCCATTCTCCCGCTTTCCATCACCCCGCCCCATTCTCCCGCTTTCCATCACCCCGCCCCATTCTCCAACTTTCCATCACCCCGCCCCATTCTCCCGCTTTCCATCAACCCGCCCCATTCTCCCGCTTTCCATCAACCCGCCCCATTCTCCCGCTTTCCATCACCCCGCACCATTCACCTGCTTTCCATCACCCGCCCCATCTCCCGCTTTCCATCAACCCGCCCCATTCTCCCGCTTTCCATCAACCCGCCCCATTCTCCCACTTTCCATCACCCCGCACCATTCACCTGCTTTCCATCACCAGCCCCATCTCCCGCTTTCCATCACCCCGCCCCATTCTCCCGCTCTCCATCATCCCGCCCCATTCTCCCGCTTTTCATCACCCCGCCCCATTCTCCCGCTTTCCAACACCCCTCCCCATTCTCCCGCTTTCCATCACCCCGCCCCATTCTCCCGCTTTCCATCACCCCGCCCCATGGTCCTGCTTTCCATCACTTCGCCCCATTCTCCCGCTTTCCATCACCCCGCCCCATTCTCCCGCTTTCCATCACCCCGCCCCATTCTCCCTCCTTCCATCACCCTGCCTCATTCTCCCTCCTTCCATCACCCCGCCCCATTCTCCCGCTTTCCATCACCGGCCCCATTCTCCCGCTTTGCATCACCCAGCCCCATTCTCCCGCTTTCCATCACCCCGCCCCATTTTCCCGCTTTCCATCACCCCGCCCCATTCTCCCGCTTTCCATCACCCCGCCCCATTCTCCCTCTTTCCATCACCGCGCCCCATTCTCCCTCCTTCCATCACCCCGCCCCATTCTCCGCTTCCCATAACCCCAGCCCCATCTCCCGCTTTCCATCACCCCGCCACATTCTCCCACTTTCCATTACCCCGCCCCATTCTCCCTCCTTCCATCACCCCGCCCCATTCTCCCTCCTTCCATCACCCCGCCCCATTCTCCCGCTTTCCATCACCCCGCCCCCTTCTTCCTCCTTCCATCACCCCGCCCCATTCTCCCTCCTTCCTTCACCCCGCCCCATTCTCCCGCTTTCCATCACCCTGCCCCATTCTCCCGCTTTCCATCACCCCTCCCCATTCTCCCTCCTTCCATCACCCCGCCCCATTCTCCCGCTTTCCATCACCCGCCCCATTCTCCTGCTTTCCATCACCTCGCCCCATGCTCCCACTTTCCATCACCCCGCACCATTCTTCTGCTTTCCATCACCCCGCCCCATTCTCCCGCTTTCCATCACCCCACACCATTCACCCGCTTTCCATCACCCGCCCCATCTCCCGCTTTCCATCACCCCGCCCCATTCTCCCGCTCTCCATCACCCCGCCCCATTCTCCCGCTTTTAATCACCCCGCCCCATTCTCCCACTTTCCAACACCCCTCCCCATTCTCCCGCTTTCCATCACCCTGCCCCATTCTCCCGCTTTCCATCACCCCGCCCCATTGTCCCGTTTTCCATCACTCTGCCCCATTCTCCCGCTTCCCATCACCCCGCCCCATTCTCCTTCCTTCCATCACCCCGCCCCATTCTTCCGCTTTCCATCACCCCGCCCCTTTCTCCCGCTTCCCATAACCCCACCCCATTCTTCTGCTTTGCATCTCCCGGCCACATTCTCCCACTTTCCATCACCTTGCCCCCTTCTCTCTCCTTCCAACATCCCGCCCCATTCTCCCTCCTTCCATCACCGCGCCCCATTCTCCCGCTTTCCATCAGCCCGCCCCATTCTCCCGCTTTCCAACACACCTCCCCATTCTCCCGCATTCCATCACCCCCCCCATTCTCCCGCTTTCCATCAACCCGCCCCCTTCTCTCTCCTTCCATCACTCCGCCCCATTCTCCCTCCTTCCATCACCCCGCCCCATTCTCCCGCTTTCCATCAGCCCGCGCCATTCTCCCGCTTTCCATCACCCCGCCCCATTCTCCCGCTTTCCATCAGCCCACCCCATTTTCCCGCTTTCCATCACCCTGCCACATTCTCCCACTTTCCATCACCCCGCCCCCTTCTCTCTCCTTCCATCACCCCGCCCCATTCTCCCTCCTTCCATCACCCCGCCCCATTCTCCCGCTTTCCATCAGCCCGCCCCATTCTCCCGCTTTCCATCACCCCGCACCTTTCTCCCGCTTTCCATCTCCCCGCCCCGTTCTCCCGCTTTCCATCACCCCGCCCCATTCTCCAGCTTTCCATCATCCCGCCCCATTCCACCGCTTTCCATCACCCCTCCCCATTCTCGCTCCTTCCATCACCCCGCCCCATTCTTCCGCTTTCCATCACCCGCCCCATTCTCCCGCTTTCCATCACCTCGCCCCATTCTCCAGCTTTCCATCACCCCGCCCCATTCTTTTGCTTTCCATCACCCCGCCCCATTCTCCCGCTTTCCATCACCCTGC